GAAAGAGGTGAGCGTTAATATATGTGGTGGGCTTATATTCCGGGAGGCTTATATTCGGGGGGGGGGTTATATTCGGGGGGGGGCTTATAGTCGGAGGTTTACGGTATTGTATTTTATATAACAAGATTTAAATGGCTGTAGCCTTCAACACGTTAAATTACAGGAAGAACAAATGTCTATATAAACGAGAACTACATGAAAGGAAAATGAAGTATTTATTACTTTTGCTTGGGTGTTATGTTTTGCACCTCGCTTTCGTGTTCTTTCATGCTGTTTAGCTCATCAAACAGCTTAGATGATCTAGATGCAAAAACTTTGTGGAGTGAACGGTTGTAGGCGAAGGATCAAACGATTAGATCATATTTTAATTTAATTTATATGAAAATTGGATGAGAAATGTACAAAAGCTTATCTTGATTTCCAGGCTGAACTGAGTGCGTAATTAATTTAATGCATGATTTTAATATGCATTTATAATTTATGCCGGAATTAGTGCCCTCTAATTATTATCTATGTAAAATAACAGCTTAGAGTATTATTCTGCAATTTGTTTTTTATATTACTGTTTCATTCTTGCCAAAAAATTATGTTCTTAATGTTCTTAATTTCCTTTGTCTATAATTCTAATATTACTTTCATTTCGAAAGTCGTTAAATAAAACCACATTATCCTGCCGATGCCGAATGTTTTAAAATGACATATATGTAACGAGGAAAAAACTCCACATGTCAAACAATGGAAAATCAATTATTTACTTACCTCCTTTCCAAACATGGATCTGACAAACTTTGACTTCCCAGAATTAACAAGCCCAATTACCCCAATGGCGGTTTCACTGGCCAAGCTTTCTCGCAAATTGTTGATCATCAGTGACCACTTTATCCACCTCGCAACCAAAAGACGGTATTGGTTGGGTACAAACGTCAACATCTCATCTTCAAAATTACTATTCCACTCAGCGAGTATTTCATGAACAGGTGTGTCGTGAAATATGTTTCGTTTCTTGCACTGGTCTTGCAGTTGTCTTTCAAGGGAGTAGCTGACGTAGTTCTGGTTACAGGTCCAGCTCTGCTTCATGCTCCCTACAAGAAACTCCAGTTTCACATCGTAAGGAACCTGGTTTTCCGAAAAAGGTAGCCCGAATTCGCCAGCACCATTGCTAGGATGGGAAAAGTCGATAAAGAACTGCCTGAACTCTTCAGACAAATTCCCAACCATGTGGCCAAGATATTCAAAAGGTAGAATCAGCAGCGCCCATACAGATAAACCGAAAGAATTTGCATGCTTGGCAATTTTATTGACATAATTATCACCTGCTTTTTCAAGTGGAATGTGTACTTGAGATTCCATAAACGCTCCAAGAAGAGTGCTACACGTCTCAAACTCATTGCGCAAGTGAGTTAAAAGTGTAAGCATCCTGCGATTTGTCTTTGAAGTCACACTTTCTTCTGTAAGACCAGAAGGTTCTGCAATTAATTCCTCGCTAAATTGGGCTAGTTTGTTCTTGCCCTCTGTAAGCAAAGTGATGGGCGCTTTGCAACACGTCATCTTACGTACAGGTGTTTTTTGGTCTTCGGTTGAGGGATAAATAACTTCTAAATCAAGGTTGCACACCGAATGTCGATCACCACTTTCCTTGTATTTCCCCAAAAATGCAAGAATGCGAGAAATGGCCTCATTAAGCAATTGGTTACACTCGTGCGATTGCAATTGAGGAATTGATCGTTCTTCCATGGCCATCTTTTTGGAATAAAAATTTGTTAATGTGACGAATTTACTGAAATTTCTAACACTTTCATGTCGCATGTTGTGTGAGAGCAGAGAATATATTTCTCCAGAAGAACGACCACGCGAACTCTTAATGACACCCTGGTAACCACGAACACGTAATAAGGCAGCTTTCATTCCAGTGAGAAGAGACTTCGAAGGCTGGGATGTTGTTGGAATAGCATCACCACAAAGTATTTCACAACACTGCAACATTACATCAGGCTTACCCTTAGCAATTGCGTAGAAAAGGCTTTCAAGTGGAACAACAGATACTGCGTTTTCGAGAAAGGTTTTGACTACATTGAATCTCTTGGAACTGTAACTGTCATCGCGGCGCTCTAACAATGCACTTAGGTAAGCTAGTTCAATAACGCCACGGGGACGGTGTTTTGCAAGTTGCTGTTGCCTTCTAGTGACTGGATACGTCTAAAAATATAAGATATAAAAAGATTAACAATATATTCTTGAATATTGAAAATATAAAAAGAACTTCGACGTTTCGAGCGAAGCCCTTCGTCTGGAAGTTAGTAGAGTCGGTCGGGAAACGACATGCGCTGTTGCAGTGTGAATACAAATTAGTTAAAACGGTTTCTAATTGTGTTTATACTTTATTTTGATTAAATACATCCGATTGGCTTATTTTTATCACTTGATCTCGCTTGTATTTGCACTATAAAAGCACACGTATTTCAATACCCAAGCGTGGGCGGCTCTAGTAATTTTTTATTCAGCGTTTTCTTCCATAACTATTTCATTGAGAAAGGTAAAAGAAGGGTTTTACACTCTCTGCATACAGGATGTATGAAATACGGAATCCGTTTAACAATAATAACTCACTGACCTCGCTATCGCTCGGTCAATACAGCAAGACCTGGGTTTCATACTTTCCCGTACAGCCCGAACGGTCGAGGTCAGTAAGTCTTTTGTTATATGTTGTCTGAGCTGTTGGAATTTCTGTCGCTGCGTTATTAAAAACCTGTCCAATAATGGATTCAGCACTAGTAAATATGGTGGGTTTATACACGGGAGGGGGGGGGGGGGGG